ATATTACCATTGGAAGAAACAAGGTGAAGAGTACATGTCTCTGTATTACTTCTTACAAATGCATGTGAATCTATAATTATCTCAAAATAAAACGGTTAATTAAAAAATAAATAAGATTCTCCTTTCCCCTAGTTTTTAGAAAAGCTCTTTGCAGGTCAGGTGAACACACATAAATATATAAACTATGATGGGAAAAGGCTAAAGATTTGGAGCTAGTATCAAAGCACCCCAATCCAACTTACCTGCTTCACTTTGACTGTTGAATGGTGAGGACTTCGGTTTCTCTTACTCCGTGGAGACTTGCTTCTCCTCCCTGAGGACTTGCTTTTCTTTTTGGCTGGGGACCTTTTCAGAGCATGGTATACTCAGGATTTTATCTCAACATCCCTTCCCCCATATAAATTAGCTTCAAGTATCAGGCTTGCCTACCAACAGAAACACCACACCTGTGAAGGTCTTAGTAACAATAGAAGAGGAGTCAAAAGTTTCACTGTCCTAGCCCTAACATCTCCCTTGAGTTCCAGGCTTACTGGACCTTCTCAAGGAGTCCTGGTGGCACAGTGGTTAAATGTTCGGCTGCTAACCAAAAGGTCAGTGATTTGAACCTACCAGCCCCTCCTTGGGAGAAAGATGTGGCACTTTGCTTCTGTAAAGATTGTTGTTGTTGTTATGTGCCATCGAGTCGGCCCCGACTCATAGCGACCCCTCCTTGGGTTGCCAAGGCAGTATCACTACAGAAGGAGATTGCCCAACCTTCCTTCCGAGGAGCGGCTGGTGGGTTTGAACCGCCTCGAGTCGGCCTGACTCATAGCGACCCCTCCTTGGGTTGCCAAGGCAGTATCACTACAGAAGGAGATTGCCCAACCTTCCTTCCGAGGAGCGGCTGGTGGGTTTGAACCGCCACCCTTCTGGTTAGCAGTCAAGTGCCTTAGGTACTATGCTACCAGAGCTCCTCTGTAAAGATTACAGCCTTAGAAACCTCATGGAGCAGTTCTACTCTGTCCTGTGGGGTCACTCTGAGTCAGAACCAACTCTGCAACAATGGTTTTGGCTTTCGGACATTCTCAATTATATAACAGAACTCAACTCCCAACTCCTTGATCTTTCCTCGTCCAGTCTTTGCCAACTTGATAATTGGCACAATCCAGCCTCTTCCTCAAACCAGAAACCTAGAGTCACCGTTGATTATTTTTTCCTCACCACCAACACCTCCACCTCACCCCCTGCTCCACTACACACATACAATTACATCCAATCCTATCTCATTCCCACCACACTCCTACCACCCTTGTTCTTGATCACCACACTTCCCACATTGGCCTTTCCCCCTTGTCTAAAACAGGCATTGCAAATGTTGTTTCTTCTGCCTGAATCGGTACAAGGCTGGATCAATCTCATCATTCAGATCTCAGCTTAAATGGCACCTCTTCAGAGATGCCTTCTCCCACTGTTTTAACCTATTCCTAATACTTATTACTAACTGAAATGGTTTTATTTATTTGCTTATTATTGTCTGTTCTGGGGTTCCAGTATATTAATTCCTTGAGGGTAACAACCATTATCTTGTTCACTCTGTGGTTCCAATAACTAAAAAAGTCTTTGGCACATAAACAACAATTTATGTTGGTGTGGACTTGATTCTAACTCACAGTGACCTTAATGACAGAGCAGAACTACCTTATGGAACTTCCAAAGCTGTAATCTTTACAGAAGCACACTGCCACATCTTTCTCCTGTGGAGCAGCTGGAGGCTTCGAATGCCTTTTGGCTGGCAGCTGAATGCTTAACCACCATGCCACAGAGCTCCTTCTTTGGCACATATCCACTGCCATCCAGTCAATTGTAACTCATAGCAACCCTACAGGACAGAGTAGAACTGCCTCATAGGGTTTCCGAGGCTGTAAATATTTACAGAAGCAAACTACCTCATTTTTCTCCTGAAGAGTGGTGGTGGCTTCAAACTACTGACCTTTTGGTTAGCAGCCGAATGCTTTAACCAGTGCACCACCAGAGTTCCTTCTCTGGTATATACCCACTGTCATCAAGATGATTCTGATTCATAGTAACCCCTATTGGGTTTCCAAGGCAGTATATCTTTATGGAAGTAGATCGCCCTGTTTTCCTTCTGCAGAGCTGCTGGTGGGTTTAAACTACCAACCTTCTAGTTAACAGTCATATGCCTTAGGCACTGCACCACCAGAGCTCCTTTTGGCACACAGGAGGTGTGAAATAATGTGGAGTGAATGAATAAATGACTGTGTCCACCAAGAAGCAGTATTTTCTCAGGTTCTACTAAGTAAATTTCCTAGGCCCTCCATGTGGAAACTTTTGGAGCAAGTACTTAACTGGAAAGAGAACGGCCATACCTGGCTTGGCAAGCAAACATGAAAAATCTTTCATTTTAGTTTAAGGAAGGATTAACGCTATCTGCTAGGCCATACTCTTCTACGTGCTGAGGACACAGAGATGAATGAAAATTCTACCCACTAGGCGCTAAACGCCCAACTATAGTGTGACAGATGCTGAGTAAATCTTTAATACAGTCTGACTGGGTTACTCCCGTCACGACCTCCAGGATTAAGTTCAAGCTGCTGAGCACAGCATCAAGGTCTGTTTCTGACACTAGCCCTGTCTTCCCATCTCAATAAGCAGACTCAAGGTCCATTCCAGGCTGCTCCCCACCTACCGGCTGCCTCCGCGGGTTCGATTCCCTCGGTGACCCGGGCGGCCTGGCTCGCCGGCTGGCGAGGACGGGCTGTGGCCGGAGGAGTCTGGGCGGCGGTGGGCGGGAAGCACGGCCTCCGGGCTGACGCGCTCTTGCTTCACCACTACCGTCGCCGCCGCAGCCACCATGTCCCCGTCTCGGTGCCTTCGCCGACTTCCCCGTTCCCGCTCGCTCTTCACCTCCTTCATCCCGAAATCCTGGCTGAGGAAAAGATTAAGTCCGTTGAGCTCCGCTCGCTGAAGGAAATGACGTATTTTACTCCTGGACTTCCGCTTCCGTGTTACGCGCTCTCCCAGAAATCCTCGCGGCGAAGGCGCAAGCACGTGACAGCCCTTCACTGGTGGGTGGGGCCGTAGTCACTGGTTCGGGAGGCGGGAATTTTAAGTTTCAAAAACAAACATCTGAAAAAAGTTACACTCTAAAGGCTATTGCCACGTTATTGGCATTAGATACAACTAAATGCCCAGCAGTAGAGAATTATTTAACCAATCCATGGCATGTTATGTTACCCATTGTTGTTGTTGTTGTTATTTGCCATCGAGTCGGCCCTGATTCATAGCGACCCCTCCTTGGGTTTCCGAGGCAGTATCACTACAAAAGTAGGAATGCCCAACCTTCCTTCCCAGGAGTGGCTGCAGTGCTATTTACCAACTCCAAACAAGCATCCACCACTATGGAAATAATCCAAGGGACTAGTAAACCATGCAATCCTCAGCCTATGTGACTGTGAGACCAGAAGAACTAGATGATGCCCAGCTACCACTGTCAACTACTTGGAAAGGGATCAGTTCAGGAAATCCTGGATAGAGTGGGAGAACAATGTAGAATTAAACTCCAAATCACAAAAAGAGACCAGTTTTACTGGTCTGATACAGCCTGGTGAGACTGGCCTGGAGACTATGGCCCTTAGTTACCCTTCAGGCCTGGAGCTGAGCTCACTCCTGTGGCTTCCAGCCAAACAACAGACAGGCCTATGGGGTGAACATTTACTTCAGGTAGATATACTCCTTGGAGCAATCAATCATGGGAGAATAGACGGGCAGGGAGATAGCTGGAGGTGGAGGGAGTGCAGCAGGAGTTCATGGGAGGGAAAGACAGTAACTACAGGGAAGAGGTAACTACAAGGAAGAGGTGACTACAGGGAGGAAGTGGGAAGAGAGCTGTTAAGTTGTGGGGAATTGCAGTCAATGTCCTGAAACAAAGTATGTATGAAATGCTGTAGAGTAAATGAATTTGCTCTGTAAACTCTCACCCAAATAACAATAAATTTGACTGCTAACCAGAAGGCTGGCGGTTCAAACTCACCAGCCACTCCTCAGAAGGAAGGTTGGGCAATCTACTTCTGTAGTGATACTGCCTAAGAAACCCAAGGAGGGGTCGCTGTGAGTCAGGGCTGACTTGATGGCACATAACAACAGCAACAAAAACACACCCCCACTAGCAAGAATGGCTTAGACAAGCTCTTTCTCCCAGGAACTACACTGCACATACATTATTTCTACTTTATATAGGCTGTATATTTATGATACAATTCCTACTCTTACTATATGTTAGGGTTATTTTAGGTTTTATGTGTTATTTGCTATGATTTTGTAGGTCTCAGTTCTGGGACCGCTCAAAAAATTTCCCCACATAAATTGATAGTAATTTCTTCTTCATTTTATGCCGTTTCAGCTTATAAAAATAGTTCATAGGAATGTTCTCCTTTCAGGTAAGGAGGAAACCTGTATGTCAAATGGAAAAAAACACAATTTTGTTTAAATGGAAAAAAGCAGGATACAAAACTGTGGGAAAACTGATTACATTTACCTTTAGAAGGTAATAGATGGATAGAAGAAAATGCAGTCATAGATAGTGGGGTTGGCAAATCATGATTTTTCCTTTATTTCGGGAACTTTCTGCAATGCTGTCATTTCTCCAATTTAAAAAAGAAAAAAAACTGGTAAACTCCACAGGCCTTCCTTTGAGAATCTTCCCTAACGCTTCAATGAGGACCCAGATGACTCCCATTTTGCAGGTGACAAAATTAAGGCTCAGCAAAATTGACATGCCCATTTACCTCGCGAGCTCTAAGGTGCGTAGGGACTCAAATCCAAGCTTTCCCTGCTTCCAAAAGTCCCGAAGCGACCTGAACAGATGAACAGAAGACCCAAGAAGCCAAGAGCTGGCAAGAACCTTCCTCAAACCCTGCGGTATGAGAGGAAACTCACTGGACCCAGGTCCCGCCCCACTCGGAAGCCCCGCCCATGCCATGCCGCTGGGGGAGGTGGTTTCCATGGTGACGGCAAACAAGGCCGAGAGTGGAGGGGCCACTTCTGGGTTACTGCCTGTGTCTAGGCAATGATTCCCCCAGCGGACTCGTTGCTCAAATATGACACCCCGGTGTTGGTGAGCCGGAACACAGAGAAACGGAGCCCCAAAGTAAGGACAGGTTTCGCAATGCGGAGGGGAAGGGGACGCCGGAAGCTCCTATGGGGTAGGACAGATCCCCGCTTTCAGGGTCGGAAAACCAAAGGCACAGAGGCTGCAGCGACTGAGAGTGAAGGGGCTCGGAACAGGGGAAGGAGGATGGGAGACGGTCCAAGAAGCCCAGACTTTGAATGTGACCTTAGAGGGCATTTTTAGGATGGGGAAAGAAGTCACATGGACTCTTTCATAGTAGCCAGCCAGCAGTAGATGAAGTAGTGATTTCCCCATCACTGGTGATATGAAAGCAGAAGCCTGAGCATCACTGCCAGAAACGTTGTTCAAGAGGACGCAGGTACTGCGTTGGGATGGGAAGATGGCCTCCTTCAGCTCTGAGACATAACTAATGCCTAGAGGACAAAAGGTGAAAGTGAGGTGGGAATAGGGGAAGAATGTACAGGAGATGCAATCTAGAGGGTTAGGATGTGTGCATCTGAGTGCCTAAGTCACCTCCTGTCCTAACCTGTCCCTTCTTCTCAGGCACGGCCACTGAAAGTCAGCCCCCAGCAGCCTGGACCATCGGGTCCAGTCCCACAGCCACCAAAGACAAAGGTCCCCTCAACTTCCTGTGTCCCAGACCCAACAAAGCAGGCAGAAGAAATCTTGAATGCCATCCTTCCCCCAAGGTAAAAAAGTAAGAGCAGGGGCTGGGAAAGGGCTAGGCTTTTGGATTCCAGAACTTGGGAATGTGGGGAGAGGACCATGCCTCTGTTCCTGGCTGGGGTTCACTCCAGAATTCCACAGCTCCTAGAGATTGCAGATGACTGGATCCTGGGAAAGTGAGGGGAGACTTCTTCTCTATGTATCCTCATTTTCTGAATGTTCTCACTCAACCTCATGGCTTTAAATACCATCTATATGCCGAGGAGAAGTCCTTGACTATGCAAATGGTTAACACCCTCAGCTGCTAACCAAAAAGAGGTTCATGTCCACCCAAAAGCACTGCAGAAGAAAGGCCTAATGATCTACTTCTGAAAAATCAGCCATGTATCTACTCTGATACACAGAGGATTGCCTTGAGTCAGGTTAACTCAATGGCAACTGGTAGTGGTCCTGATGATGAGGCATTGGTGGTTCAGTGGTAGAATTCTCACCTTCATGTGGGAGACCCGGGTTCAATTCCCAGCCAGTGCACCTCATGTATAGCCACCACCCATCTGTCAGTGGTGTCTTGTGTATTGCTATGTTGCTGTACAGGTTTCAGTGGAGGTTCTAGGCTAAGATGGACTAGAAAGAAAGATCTGCTTCTGAAAATCAGCCAGTGAAAACCCTATGGATCAGAGTGGTCCAATCTGCAACTGATCCTGGGGGTGGGGCAGGGCCATGCAACATTTAGTTCTGTTGTGCATGTGGTTGCCCTGAGTTAGGGACTGATTGCACAGCAGCTAACAATAATCACACTATGCTGATGACTCCCAGATACGTATTTCCAACCCTGTTTTCCTGCCTAAATATCAGACCTACATATTCTACTGCTTTCTTACTATCTTCATGATGATATCTAATAAGACATTTCAAACTCAGCATGTTCAAACTAAGTCACAATTTCTTCCTCCTTCAACCTGGTCATCCCCAGTCTTCCCCTTCTCAGTAAATTGTTACTCCTTTCTACTAGCTGTTCAGGTCACCTTTCACTCCTCTTTGTCTCTGTGATAGTTAAGGTTGTGTGTCAACTTGGCTGGGCCATGGTTCTCAGTGGTTTAGCAGTTAAGATGTGGTCATCCTCCATGATAAGAGCGAATATAATCAACTTCATGATGAAATTTTCCATGAGCAGCCAATCAGTTGAAAGGGAGTTTCCTCAGGGGTGTGGCCTGCTTCCAATGTCTATGGACCTCCTGGCAAAGATCTCTGGCTTTCTGCTGGATCTGGCTCCTGCATCTGGCTCATCATCATCTCTGGTTCCTGGACTTGA